GTTTAGACTCATATCTGGGTGAAACAAATCTATTGTTAATCACTATAATAACTACCGAGTAGAATTTAATAGTTATATAGGTAAATGGATCAATTCTCTTTAGAGTATAATGGCATTTGTATTTACCATTTCTATAGTTGTAATTTTAAATTTTGTAAGCGTTTAAGCAATAAAAATCTTTCAGAAATTCTTACGAGTTAGCAATTTGCGCTAATTTAGACAATGTAGAACGATTTAGACGAGTGAATTAGCTCGTTTAAGTGAAAAAAAAGCTAGAGTATTTTATATTGTTTTTTAAAAAGTTAGTGGGGTTTGGGGTAAGGTATCGATATCCATTTAAATTCTCTCACTACATCGAGCTCATTGCTTTCATAATGCAACTGTTTTAGCAATATAGTTGTACCCAACGACAGCTGACTTCTAACGACGTATTCAAACACAGCTAATGGAGTTCAGTCAACAGACAATTAGGGGGGTAAAACGAGCGTAGGGATGGAATGGGGAACATACTAATCACTCCACCATTCCTGGTCTGTTCTGTACTTAACTGTGGACGAATCGATGCAGCTTTTTCTCTGCTAATTCCTCGTGTTTGGATTGATTGCTTCAACTAAGTGATCCTAATGATCTACTTCTATATTCTTAACAAAACAGTCTTTACGTAAAACCTCTCTACAATCGATTTTATATTCGCGGCCTCTTTACTATCACCCATTACAACAAAACGTCTACGTGTCTAGAGAAACAATACACATATCCATCGCTTTAACTTCATTACTTAATGGAAATTTCCCTCTAAGCGCCATTCTTACAACTGGTGGATGGATTTCTCGAACGGCCAACGAAAACCTTTCGTTTTTCTACAATACAAAATTACACTAGACATTGCCAAAATGTTTTAAACCAGAGCCAAAACTCAATGTTGGAGACTAACTAACGCCTTCGGCATGGGAATGACTTCGTTCTGAAGAGCGGTTCTCTTCTTGCCTTCAGGTATCTATCTAGTATGAGGCCGTGATTGGAATCCGTGATGCATTTGCCCTACCGTCTTCCCTCCCCCCTTCTTGTAAGATGTAGGGGGCGTCGTGATCTGTAACTTTTCGGGATGTTAATGGAAACGTGTATGAATTAGCGGTTAGAAGCCTACTTGCTGTATATAGATTCCACATACTTTCGTTATTAGTCTCGAGTCGCTGGCTTTGTAGTGCAAATATTTTTGCTCCTATCTTCGATAATAACATTTTGGAATATTTTAAAATATGATTAGAAAGTTTTCGAACGGAAAAAGTGGAAAAAATACTTCATAAATCTTTACAAAAGGTGAACGTTTCACCCCTTCTTATACTCGATAAATCGCGTTATTTTCGCTCGCTAATCAAAGATTAGTGTACTAAACCGCTTTAAATTAAATAAAAATTGCTTAAATTATAATAAAAATTTGAAAAATCTTAAATAATAAACAAATTACATCCATTTAAATTCGATAAAATTCACGATTTTTCTACCCAAACTAGTAGAAATAAATACAAGTCGACCCTCTATAACACTGTCGATTATTCCGTTTTATATGAATTCCATGTTGTACGAGTCACTTAGATTTTACAAATACGTGAGCCATTCACAGCGCGGCACACGTATTTGTAAAATCTAAGTGACTCGTACAACATGGAATCCATATAAAACGGAATTATCAACAGTGTTATAGGGGGATCGACTTGTACTGTACGAGTTTGAAAGCCAAATTAATACACTCATTTAAAAGTTAGATATTTATATTTTTGATTAATTTAATCGATAAATTTTTATATATTAATAACAGTAAATGTAACGAGGAAAACAAAGGTAAAAAAAGAAAAGTACAAATTCACACCCCAACAATCATTTCCTGTTATTTTCTATTCCCGATTTAATCTTGTAATTAAAACCTTTAAATTATTATTTACTATCCTCTGATATTTTGATTTTTCTCTTTTATATACAATTTAAAATATGATAGGAAGCGATATATACTTGCAATTAATTCCACTTTCCTTCAATAAAGTCTAGTTAAGAAAATTGCGACTGGCTGTAAACTAGATTCGAAAAAAGAACACGTGTTCAACGAATCCAGACAACATATTGGGTGTAGAAGTGAACCGCCTATCTACAACATTCATCTAAATTGGTGTTACCGTGTTGGAAGCGATGGCGGGGGGGTTGAAAGCGTTCGGGGGGGTTGAAAGTTGCACGCCGAGGTGGCTGATACGGTGCAAGATGGCGTACATCTTCACTTGCAGAGATCGGGGCGCGGCTTCTAGTCGAGGCGATAATTCGTCAGTCCCTTCACCTCCCTTGACAATTTAATTATTTTTGAAGCCGGAACTAGGCCTTAGGCCAATCTCCTAGTTCGCCACTCAATTGACACCGTGTCATGGACGGGTGTTTGTTAGCGGCTGACCCCTGGTACTCGCTGTTTTGGTCCTTAGACTCCTCTTCTTTATTTTTTTATTATTATTATTTTATTTTCTGTTTTTTTCCTCTCTCGTGTGTAAGACGTGGGATCTATTCCCGCTATATATACTGTGTAATTTTTTATCGCCAAATCTTGCGTTTTTTTTTAGACATTTCGCGTGGAGTAACTTAATTTTTTTCCATATAATTCGATATGGAATTTAATTAATCATAAAGCTTTTATAATAAGTAGATTAAAAAGTACAAAAATCTATGTTTTTTTATTCTATTTTTTTATTTTTTTTTTTAGAAATAAACCTTGGTTAAATAACGAAATTTACTTTTGGTGTTGCTTTCGCTCTCACTCTCTAATAAAATTTACGATAGTAAGACCTGAAAATATTTAAATTTCTTTATTTTCTTGCTATTTTTAGAAGTGAATCTTATCAAAATTTCTCTCTAGTTACGTATGAGGTGTGAACATTTGTTAAACACTGACCCCCTCCCCTCTCTTCGTTTTCTATCGTAAAGTTTATGATGAAAGAAAGACACAAAACACGCAAAATTTGAGGGTTTTTTTAACCTTTAAAAACACAAATCTTGTTATTTTGAAGCTATTTTTACCTCGAAAATCGCTTCAAGTTTTCTCGTTACTTACAACACTTATTAGAATTAGTCGTTGACCTGTTCGTGTAACTTTTTACATAATAAACACCTAAATTAAGCATATTCCAGGGATATTTTTGCATATTTTAGTGTATAATTTAATTAATTAATCATAAAAGTTTCTTATAAAATACAAAAAAAAACATTAAAAAATTTAACCATTTAAAGCGCAAAATCTCGTGTAAAAATGTTGGCTCATTAACAATGAAAGTAATGAATGTTTACTATTTTAAAATTGTAATTAAAGAGACAATAGCTTCTTAATTAGTAATAAAGTTTTTAATTACGAAATATTTAATTACTACAAGGAACTAAAATCTTATCTGATTGGTCGATTTTCAAAAATTTACAAATTTCTTGTAACGTCTGTCGAAGTAAAATACGTTCTTAAAAATGACCTTTGACCTCTTAATTATTAAAATATGTAAAGTATAGATGAATATAAGGCGAATAATTTAATAAAATCTTGTACGTTAAGTAACTTTATAATTGAAAAAAAATATTTAAAAAAAAGGGGGGAGAGGAACATATTTTATAAAATTATAAAATCATACGACTCTATTACATTGTAGTTATTTTGTTAATACATTTTTTTTGAAGGCTGTCAAATTTTACGATAACCTCCCGACAACTCCAATCTCGTAGCGAGTTATTAATGGTTCGTAGTACACGGGGCGTATCATACGTACATCAGACAAACTGACAAATCATAGTCCACGATATTTGAATCACGATGATGAACGGATAAATACTTTCGTTCGTTCATCTATCTTTCACCCTTTATATAATTAGAAGCGGATTGCGGATCGATGCCTTCGCCACTGTCCAAAATACCTATCCACCAATGAAAGTTAAGTTTACTATGGAAATTATTAAAATAACGCGTGGATTTTAAGTAATTCGCGGGCGAGACGGGTACCACGTAGGAAAATACTAGGGATTTTAATTACGGTTAAGGAAGAAGGCCGACAAGTCTTCCAGATGTGATCAAACACGCGACGTCTTCATCCGTCGGCCCGGGTTTCTTCAATTTTGCTCACCGTCGGTCGAAAGATTTAAGGGGGAAAAAAGAACTTCCGACGCCAATAACGAGAAGGGCACGATTTGCGCAAGGCCCAGGGCAAATTTCGGCACAATTGAGACGTCCGGACGTCTGGAGCGGGTCGGATTGTTTGAAGAATTGGAGAGAAAGTATCATCGATTTGGCCCTGGGTAGAGATTTTTATCGGCTTGGTCGTAACCGAGATCCAACCTATCCTAACCACAGCTGTCCTTAAGAGTATATTAATCAGTGTCCGACTGATCTTTTTCTCCTACTTTAAGAATATTTCCGTACAGGTCCCTCAGGCAAAACGTGTGGTAACGCCCTCCAAAGGTGGGTCGTAAAAATCTTGGGTGTACGGTTAAAGCCTAATGGATTTTTGTTAGAGGCGTTACACATTTGTTGTGTCTGACAGACTGGATCTGGTCGGCTTTCCTAACTTGTCGTGGCCCAAATTGGTCCCGTTGTATTTTGGCATTTGTCTTTTACCCCGTGCCGATTAATCGGGTCTAAATAAATCCTCTAACGTTTACCCACGACCCCTACGGGTTTCCAGTCGTAAGTGGAGGTGCCGGGCGGTATTTTATACGCGGCGTGGTCCCATTGGTAAAGGTTTTATGGAAGGAAACGGATTAGGGAACCCCTAGACCCACCGGGTGTGGTAGGAGGGAGCCAAGCTATTTTCGGCTCGTAACCCTCGGTCGAACGAGCAGGTTGTCGCTGCGCGTGCATTAGAAAGTCTAGTTTGGCCGTTGGACTGACGATGGCTATAATTTGATGCCCGCTGCTTTTTCGGGACTTCTATAATCACCGGGTTGTGTGGAGAGAGAGGAAAATTTATGTTCCTTTCTGTTTCGTGCAGGTTGTTCGGACGGCGAAAAGGAGAGTAGTGCCACGGGCAGCGGACAAGGCAAGAGGAGAAGAACCCGCACCAACTTCAACGGTTGGCAGTTGGAAGAGCTAGAAAAGGCCTTCGAAGCCAGCCATTACCCGGATGTCTTCATGAGAGAAGCGTTAGCCATGAGGCTCGATCTGGTGGAATCCAGGGTACAGGTACGCCGGCTTAACTATTAAATATTGAATGTATCAAACTTCCACCTTACAGGTGCGTGAATTTTGCCACGATAAACGATCGAGTCGTAAAGAGTCGGCGGGGGGTAGCCGCCGTCCAGGAGGGCTTCGCGTCACATTTAACGGCTGCACCCCTAAACCCGACGGGGGACCGCTCGTTGACTATCGGGTTTTCTTGACGTCCGTGACACCTAGAAATGCCCACCTTTTACCCAATCTCTGGGCGGGAGACGATTTTTCTTTAACGCCGTGTAATTACACGCGTACCACCGGCAAACAATCGCAAACCCATTCGAAACTATAAAGACGTTAAGAGGGAGAAAAAAAGCGCGTGCGAAATGTACGCCCTACAAATAAAAGAGGCCCTCTTCCTCAATAAAAAAAAAGAGAGAAAAATCCCTCCGTACCCTCCTCTCTATTGTGTCTTTTTATGGAATATTTCGGGATTATGTTACGATAAATAAGAGGAATATAATATGTAAAATATGAATAAATAAATAAATAAATAAAGGCATATAAATGCGAAATCTAAAATAAAAAGTATACAAAACGTTTATACGAAATATACAGACGTATAATAAAGAATATAAGGAAGACAACGTAGAAAATATGCACGAAACGTGTACGAATTTCTGAAAATAGTACGAAATGTAAAAAATTCTCGAGAGTTTTTTTTTTTTATTTGTAACTTATTTCGAAGGGAGTAAAAGGTCGAATGTTTACGAAGAGAACAAACCATTCTCGTGAGAATATGACGATTTTACTACTTTCGACACATAAGATTCCCAAAGGAGCAAAGTTTGAAAAGTGTGGTTACAATTCTATCCAGTTTTAAAGTGTTTACTGTCTTCGCTATTTTCGGGAATTGCAAAAATAAAATGTACATTTTTTTTTTTTTGGTGTTTTTTTTTTTCTCCTCCCTCGTCTTTTTTTTAATTAGAAAAACCGTAAAAATGAGAATAGGAAATGAGAGAAAAAAAAATTCAATTAAACATATTTTCAAACGGTTTTACTAAGTGAATAATTAGGGGGGAATGTGCATTACTAAACAAAACCAGTTCTATTCTTACGTCACGGAAGGTAATGGCGCCCCGGTCACGTGAGCAAAACGTCATAAGCCCAGTTGGTCCGGTCACCGAGAAGTGTGCGTGAAAGGGCACTTTACGCATGATTGATAACTTGTGACTGGATGGCAAACAACCCAGCTGTCGCCCGACCGTGTCACTATTTTCACCCCTGGTGGAAGATTTGAGAAGTTTTTTTTTTCTTTTGAATTTTGTTACTTCTGGTGTAATTCTTTATTTCTCGTATCTTAAATAAAACATTAAAAAATTAAACGAAGTGTTGAAAGGCTCCCGTTTAAAATAAGCTTAGTGTTTATAAGACAAGGCTATAAGACCGAAAGATAGGAAATTGCAGGCTTTTTAAGATAAGAAATATGTAAAAAAAATACTGGCATTTAAGATGAAAAATGAGTATAAGATAGGAAATACGAGGCATTTAAAGTAGGATAAGTACTAAATTCTGTTGGAAGTGTGTAGAATATAATACGAGGTGTACTAAAAGTCGCCATACAAGGGAAATCTTAACTTTATTTATAAAACTGGTTACACGTTAGCCATTTATTTCTAAACACATACAGATGCATCCGTCCACCCCCCACTCTCTCGAGCCCAACTCGTGTTAACGCAACAGATGTTACCCACGTAACTAAACTTTAGGCGATTCGTCTTTCGAATCTTTTCCCCGTAGCCTACACCGAATTCTTCGAGTGTTTTGGGAATAAAAGTCGAAAGGATTAAGAGTCTGGGGACCACAACCGACCCGGTGTTCCAACTTTATTACGTGTGAAGACTTTCGGAACACCGGATGAAGAATATAAGGTAAAAAAAATACACAGTCGACCCCCCTATAATACTGTTGATTATTCCGTTTTATATGAATTCCATGTTGTACGAGTCACTTAATTTTACAGATACGCGAGCCATTCACAGCCCGGCACACGTATTTGTAAAATCTAAGTGACTCGTACAACATGGAATTCATATAAAACGAAATAATTGACAGTGTTATAGGGGGGTCGTTATAGGACACAGTACTAAACAATTACGAAATTTACCGTATTTATTATAAGATAATTTACTATAATAAACACAATATATTTGTATTATTCAATTCGACTATTTTTTCGGGGGTTATTCAATAGAAAATAAAAGAACCAGTTTTAAGTGTAATAACATGTTAGGCTGTCATATGGGCAGGTAGATAATCTCCACCCTTTAGTATGGATAGCAGAACCGCCTACTTCTCCAAAAACAGTTTTGTTGGTAGATAAAAGACCAAAGTATGTACCTTATAGTGTCAGAGGCTGCATTTAAGCCTATTTGCTTTGACATGTGTAGTGTAGCGAAGGTAGGAGTGTAAGCAACCTTTTCCCTGTACGAGCGGTAAAGTAGAAGAGCAGGCACTGTTATTACCCTGTCAACTAGAAAGACATCTAATTCTCTCGGATTAACTGGCTGTCTTTATAGTTGAATATGTAAGTCTTGATTTAGATGCCGGACATCTTTGTTGGATAGTTTGACTCTGCTTTATATAAACTGCCAAATTAAACATCGTCTCCTCTATTCTTTACATAACAAATTAAACATTTACTTAAATAAAAAACGTCCTTTATAATAAGGAAAGTTACTAGAGATATATAACATATTTTTGTCTATTTTTTTAAATATTTTTCTTATATTTTATTAAATAAATGTTTAATTATTTTAATTAAATTCGTTTACTTATAAATATTTTAAAATTTAATGCGAAAATAGCGATATTTTTACCGTTAAGGTAACTTCTCTGCATTGCCTATCGACGATGCAAGAAATACCGAATTACAGTGTTGAGCCTTCTTTGAAAATTAAATAAAAAAAAAAATTATATTAAAAAGTCCTTAAATTAGACATAAAACACTTAGATAAGTAAAAAAAATAATAAGGTTATTACGATATAATGATAAATGCCAGTTAAATTCTATCTTGTTTCTACGAGCAGTCAACTGTGATGCGATAGAATCACTCTAATCAACCGAAAACACTCTAAGTATTCAATATAACAAAGGCCTATTATTATTATATTATTATTATATTTATAATAAAAGAAATTGTAAATTAAAATTTAAAAAAAAACATGTAATATACTTAATAGAAAGCGCGTTTAATCAACAAGAATAATAATAAAAAACACACACATAAGAAGACAACAAGGTAAGTGTTAGAAGGACAAAGAATAATTCTTTAAATGTATCATTTATTTTAATTATATTCAATTTTATAAATTCATAATTACGTTAGTTTTTACCTATATAATTTGCGTATTAAAATAGGATTTTATGCGCGTAATTTGGGGGTATTTTTTGCGTATTAAAATAGGATTTTATGCGCGTAATTTGGGGGTATTTTTGTGTATTAAAATAGGATTTTATGCGCGTAATTTGGGGGTATTTTTGCGTATTAAAATAGGATTTTATGCGCGTAATTTGGGGATATTTTTTGCGTATTAAAATAGGATTTTATGCGCGTAATTTGGGGGTATTTTTTGCGTATTAAAATAGGATTTTATGCGCGTAATTTGGGGGTATTTTTGTGTATTAAAATAGGATTTTATGCGCGTAATTTGGGGGTATTTTTGCGTATTAAAATAGGATTTTATGCGCGTAATTTGGGGGTATTTTTGTGTATTAAAATAGGATTTTATACGCGTAAACTGTTGACATTTTAATTTTAAAAAAAAAGACGTTAAATGTGACAATTTTAAGAATAAAAAACAGTAAACATTTTATCAATACGAACATTTCAACTCGTGGGACCATTTTTCAACTGGAACCGATTGAACTAAATGGATGAGTAAAGTTAGTAAGAAAAGAATAAGACAATCTCAAAGGAGTCACAGGATATTCAAAAAGGATAGATTTGTTATTTTACAAAAAAGAAGAAGAAAGGAAATATATATATATATATAAAATAACACACAACCCAATTCGGTATCAGTAGAAACACGTAATTCATTTTCGTAACTGCGAATGTGTCAAGATGAGCGAGAATTCTGGCAACAAATAGCTACTGATAAAGTAGCAAATATATACAGAAGTGTCAAGAGAAGATATTGGCGAACCGTCAAATGGCAGTTGAATCCCCTTCTGAACGAATCTCGACTTAACTTATCCTCCGTACGGGCTGTTAAGTTGTGACTCATTTGTAATTGTGTGTGTGTGTGTGCGTACTGTACTTGTGTGTTTGTCTGTTGTATATATATATATATATATATATGTGTGTGTGTGTGTTACGTCAACAGCTGCAATAATGCGATTTGATTGTTGTCGCAAATAGTTATGAGCTCATTTAACACTTCTGCTAATTCATTAATGAATCCAGTTATTATCCTATCGCTACAGATTACGTTTGACTTTGTTAATCACTTGATATTGCCTAACGGAATAAATTAGTTAAGAGCTTCCTCTTTATCAAATATATTCGTTCCCTTTTGATGTTTTAAATGTTTCCAATTATTCTAAAGGAAAATTAAATATAATTTTTCATTTTTTTAGCCTTGTTTTTTTCCTATAAAAGGGGGTAAAAATGTATACAAAGAACGGAATTTACAAACGGTTTAAGGAATTAATTAGCGAATGAAGAACGTTTAAAGTGTAGAAATTTATGTGTTAAAACGTTTATAAAAATGAAATTAATAAATAAAAACACGTTTGAAAGAACCGAAACTTAATTGTTAAGGAAAATTTTAAACATTAAATAAACTTTTATACTTTAAAAAGAAAGCAAACATCCCCCTGAAGCATTTTATAACTAGAAACGATCCATTTGAGGGTCACTTTTCGGTTGAGGGAGAAGAAAAAAATGCGCATAATATGGAAGTAAGTAGTGCATCTAAAAATTCAAAAAGAAAAAAAAATATATTCTAGCCTTAATGATAGTTTT